CCAGTTTTCAATTTCTTTATTAATAAAAAAAATTCTTTTCTATAATACCTGTCCATGTAATAAGATTAGAAGCATTTTTAATATTTTCCATACTTGTGTCTAGCAAAAAGTAGAGAAAATAAAGGGAAGATAAGCATGTTAAGAAAAGGATTCCAGTATCAGAAGTAAAACATTCAAATATTATGTTTTCATTATTCTTCCAGATATTCTCCAAAAAGTAAGAAATTCATTGCAAACTTTCTGTTAAATACATCCATTATGTGTTAAAACCATAGAGACATTTTTCCTTTTGTCACATTTTTCTAAAATCTTCTGAAATGGTGGGTCTATAAATTTTGCCTTCAAATTCTTCTAAATTTAGTTGCAATGTCTAATGTCCTGAAGAAAAATTACGCCTACCAATTTTGTAACAGCAAACAGGCAGAAATATTTAAAAAAAAAAAAATCAGGTGGAAAAAGTGTGAAATTAATTTTATAGAAAAAACTGATGCATATTCTGAGATTCTGAACACACTGAGACAATTACATGAGAAAAATCTTATCCATGAAAAAATTAAAAAGAAGATTTTTAATTAATTACATCACTATTTTGCTTTTAAGAATTGTTTTGTAAATTGTGCTTTATAGCATTTACTATCTTGTTTGTTTTTTAATTTGAAATGTATATATAAGTCAACAAAATGGAAAATAATGTCACTTTATCATATGACAGAAAAGAAATATGAATGTTTTACTTTGTTATTTCTTAAATATATTACCATTATTTTAATGATAATTTATCAATGTTAGAATGTTTAAAAAAACCGTCGAAAAATTACCAGATCATGGAATTTAAAATTTTCTATAGAACCTGATCTTAAAATCGCCAAAATGTTGATAAGTTGCCAAATTTAAAGCCACTCAATAAAAGAATTCACATCCCCAAAAGCGAAAAGTTGTTTAAGAGCTCTTCATTAGAAAAAGTGAAATAATTTTGAAATACCTGTTTCGCTTCTTGCTCAGAAACTTGAGTATCCCACCACTTATATTAGAAATAGGAACAAATCATAACCCATTCAAATAACCCTATTTATCAGTGAATCGCCAAAAATATACCTCCAAACTGCTAATTCACACTCAAAATGGCAGTCGTAAAAACAGACAGAAATGTCACGATTAAAATTAAGGACCTTCTGCCGATTTTGGCCAAGGACCAAAAATCGATTCCAAAAAACTTAAGGACTTTTAAGGACTCTTAGGCTGTATTCAGACGGGGGCATAAAGGGTATGAGTGGTTAAACCCGAGCTCCATTGAAAAGGCAACCAGTCTGAGGTATGTCACATAATCTGGTTTAAGGCTCGTGGCACAAGGTTCCAAGTTTTCAACTTGATGCCGAGTTTGGGATAAGCCTCGACCAATCAGAGCGAAGCTAAAACAAAACGGCTTTCTTTAGACGATTTCGCTGCTCTATCGAAGGCGACATTTTTTTTAATATGGAGCGCATCATATGCGAATTAGTCGTAATCATTTCCGAACGAAATAATGAGTTGATCTCGCAAGAAACCTACGATGATGACATGCATTTTTTAATGAGTTTTCACATTAAATTGAAAAATATGGATGAAACTTGTAAAGTGAAAGTTAAACTCAGGATTATGCATGCAGTGTATGATCCTGTAGATGATTGATCCCATCCAATATTTTTCATTTTATTATGAAAATTCTTTAAAAAATGCATGCTTGCAAAAATTTTATTTTTTTCTGTGTAAATTATTATTATTACTTTTTTCTGTTTATTGTTTTTGTATAAATTATTACTATCATTTTCTTTCCGTTTAATTATTTTTGTATTTAAGAATAAATTTATTGAAAAAGCTGGAAATATTGTATTGCTATTTGCTTCAAATGCTGATTTTCTGACCAAACAAACTTCATTAATTAGTTTTACTAAAACATCAAATCAATATCAAAAATCTGAATTTTTTTTTTTTTTTTTTTTTTTTTTAAACAATAAAAATATTACTTTAAAAAAAAAAGAAAAAATTATTTTCACTTATTTAAGTATAGTCACAATAGTCAATTCAATGGTGTAAGCTTTGTGTAAGTAATAAAATATTAATCTTTTGAGAAAATGCTCTTATGAATTCCAAGAAGGAAAAAATGTAGTAAATTATCCTTAAAACAACAGTCAACAGTCTAGACAGATTTGTCTCCTGTTGATGTTCTGTTCTGTTTTTTAATTATGTTCTCCATGAAAGGAATTTTATTTTAATGAAAATGAATAGCACACATATTTCATAACATGGACTATAATTTAATGAATAGTATTTGTTATTATTATCCACTCTTTATTAAAATCATTTTAATGCAATTCTGATCATTAAATTCATGCTATTTCTCTGGTAGACATTCCTGGATAAGGTATGAAAGTTTATAATTTGATTGTATTTGAAGACTCGGGTACCTAAATTTTGTCAATGTGAAATTACTTTTGAGATATTGGTCGTAAATAGAAATGACAGCATATGTTGAAATTAAACTCTTTTTGGTGCTTTAATATGCATGTCTGCCAGTGAGTGAAAAAATGTCATAATTTATCAGCACATGAAAAATCTTTAAAAGTAATTACTTATGACAACAGACGTGGATGAAACTTACATCTATGACATCTCACAGCAGAGCAGAGTTTAATTTGAATTACTGATGATGTAAACATACCAGTTTTCAGAATTATCCAGAAAAATTCCTGAAAGTTAGTGTTTACTATGTACTGTAGTTCTCGGGTGTAACCCCCCTTTTTTTTTCAGAAAAATCATATGAAATTCAGGGGTGCGGCTTATACATGCAAATTATTAGAAATAGATGTGTACAAACAGTTGGCAACACAGTAAAATGCATTTAATGATTGAGCATAAAATACATTGTTGGGTGAACGTTTCATAGTAATGTACTAGTTCTGGTTGCTTGGTCATGGTGACCAGTTGTTGGATACTAGTACTAGTGATAATTGATACTGGTAGTGCAGCCAACTACTGTAGTGATCGACAGTGACAGTGAATAAGGAGTGCTAAACACAGAAACATGTTTCTTTGATTTAAAATGTTAAAAAATTTAATGTATGGTAAGTACTGTTTTCCGCTTAACTGCTTTAACACCTGCAAAATAGAAAAATATTATATACAGGCTATCTCTCACTTATCTTCAAGATTTTTTTTAATTAGGCATATTTAGAATATCATATTTCTCATCAGAGAAATTATATATAAAAATTCAAGAAGGTTTTATATATATAAATATGCATGTGCATGTTTATAGTATAGAGAGTACTACAGCACAATGGAGAAATATTCCATGTTGCTTTCCACAGAAATATGTGCCAACCAAGTACAGGTCTTTTCGAAAAAATATCTCTAGAACATTTCGTCTTTTTCTTATTTTACCTTCTTCCATTGCCTCTTGGCTTATAAGAAGGGCAGATAAAAGAGCATTCTGTTGAGCCAGTAAAACTTTGTGGTGAGCTGAAAAAGCCACGACACAAAATAACGAAAATAAGCAGAGTGAGCGTGGGAAATCAATCGAGCTAGGAAACAGCGTGCGAAAGGTGTAGACACATCCATGCATGCGCAAATTTAGCTTCTCTCATTGGCCACAGCTTAGACCTCCATCTCGCAGGTGTGAACGGAACTCCCGTATTTTATGCCCTTATGACTATGCCTCTATGCTCTTTATGCCGCCATCTGAACGTAGCTTTAAGGACCATATGAACCCTGATACTGTGGTATAATGATGTAACTGAGCTGTAATTTGCCACAGATCAGTCTACTAAGCCACAGTATACAATATGATTACTTCCTCGTCAGTGCGAATTTAGTCCTGAATGATTTTCATTTATTGAATTCCTTCAGAGTTACACATTTCATAGACAATGCAGATACTTTAAAAAGGAGTGTCGATATATGGTTGCAGCAGGAACCCAAAACATTGGATGCAGGACTTCACGCATTGATGGGACAAGAGTTTCAATATAGAAATTATGTGGGAAAATAACACTGGTTTTGACATTGTATGTGATGCAGTTTTATTTTTATAGCCATTTGTAACTTATTTAATTATTATCTTGCATAGAAACAACATATAAATTATCTTGAAGATGTCCTCTATTTAGATTTTCATCATTTCCGCTATAGAAAATGCTATTAGAGGTATGAAGTTGAAAAAAATATATATATATATATATATCAAAAAGTTAGAAGAATGGCATTGTAATATTTTATTATTTAACAAATAATTATGTTTATTATCCTTGATATTCGAGTGGCAATGCCATATTTTTATCGTGTAACTGTTGCTGAGCAAAATCAGAAATGTTTAAAATTGTTATTCTGAAAGTTTTACCAGCTAGTAGATGATTGACAATTTATCAAGAAAGCAATAGTAAAAGTAAGCTAGAGTGTGATGCTATAATGGATAAAATTGTATTTTAAATTATCTAATATCTCTGTGAACTGAGAATAAAATTGATGTTTTACTAAAAAGCTCATCTATTATTTCATTAAAAACTGCAAAATACGTTACAGTATTACGTATTCTAGCTATACCATAGAATGAACTATTAAATAAACAAGTAATATCTGCCAGGAATGTTCTTAAAGAAATCTTTTAATAAAATTCAATCGCATTCAAATAAATCAAGAATATATAAATATATATATACAAAAAATAGGTGCTTATATGAACATGTTTTTATTGGATTAAGATTAAAATATCATAAAAGGATGTATAATCATTTATTTAACTGGAAATAATACATTAATAACTTAATTTCACTATGAATAGACATAAATAGTCAAATATTAAAGGAACAATATAATTTGACTAGAGAAGATAACAGTTCTTATCACGATTGTTTTAAATACATATATATAAAAAATTTCTGAAAAAAATTCTAATTATACATAATTATTGGAATTTTTTATGTTTGTCATGCAATATCAGAAATTAGAAAATTTCACAAAATTACCTCTCTTGTTAGCTGTTGATTGAGTAATTTGCCTACTGACAATCCTTGGCACTTCAAGGGGGTAAAATACATATAATATACTTTAGATACATGTAGGACAAATACATATTTTTTAAAAACCAAATATTTAACAAACTATTATTATATTATATTTAACCCTTTTTAAAAATACTGCTACAGATTTGGTATTTAAATAACTTATGTTAGTTGAATTGTAAATTAAATGGTTTTATTTCCCGCGCAGTGCAGCAAGTGACGAATATTAAAAGAAAGCTAAGCCGGAAAATTGAAAATACAAGAGTGCGTGCATGTAACATTTAATAAATATCTTTTTTTGATTTCGAGAAAGTACTAGAAAATTCTTGCGCACGATTTTAAAATCTTATAAAAGGAGAAAAACCTCTCAGTTTGTGGTAGTTACTTAGTTTGTTGTTGTTTAGAAAACTGCTCTTGTTGATTGTAGCGAATTCGCGGATTAGCTTTCTTTAGCTGTTTTGAATCAAGTTCTTTTGAATGTTCTAGTAGTTAGAAGATAACTACTGTGAGATATTGTAAAACTGAAAGAATATTTGAGGAAATTTAAACATTTTTGTTGTGATAATAATAAATTTGTTCATTTTTCATCGCACTTGTGCATTCATTTCGTAACGAACCAGTACGTACGCAACAATTTTTGGTGTCAGAAGTGGGATTTGAATGCCAATCACTAGAGCAATGGAAGAACAATTGAGACAGTTCATTAGTGCTTTTGCTGCATTCCAAGAAAAGATGGAAGCTGGCCGAACATCTTTTTAAGAAGAAATTAAAGAGAAAATGGATGCTGGTCAAAAATCCATTAAGGAAGAGATGAAATCCGTCAAAGACGAGATGAAATCCGTTCAAGAGAAGATTGAAGCAGGTCATGACAAAATAAAAAGAGAAATTACTAGCGTAATAGAAAATACACTTGAGGTTATGAAAGGCAGAATTGACACAGTTGAAAATAAAGTTGGACAAATTGAAGAAAAAGTTTCTTCGGTAAAAGATCAAATTGAAGAAAAAGTTTCTTCAGTGAAAGAAGAAATAGAAGAAAGAGTTTCTTCGGTAAAAGAACATGTAGAAGAAAAAGTTTCTGCCGTCGAACAACAAATTGATGATAGGGTTTCAGCCGTTGCGAAAGAAGTAGATACTTTAAGGAAATTCGTAGCGACAGCAGGGAGCAATTCGGATGGTTTTAAATGTTTACCCATGCCTGCTCGTCCCTCACTGAAGCTATCCACTTAGGATGGGAAGACCTCCTGGCAAGTGTATAAGATCCAATTTTCTATAGTTGCAGATGCGAATGGATGGGATTCCCAAGCTAAGGCCTGTCATCTCTGTCATCTTTAGCTGTTTTGAATCAAGTTCTTTTTGAACGTTTGAGTAGTTAGAAAATAACTACTGTGAGATATTGTAAAACTGAAAGAATATTTGAGGAAATTTAAACATTTTTGTTGTGATAATAATAAATTTGTTAATTTTTCATTGGACTTGTACATTCATTTCGTAACGAACTCGTACGCACGCAACAATACATTATTATGATGCCAACCAATCACAAATAAGATACTTTATATATTACATATTAGTTTAAATAATTCTTTTTAAAAAGATTTCGATGTTCATTTATTAAAAAACTGCCACATACATAGAGATATAAGATATATTCAAAATAAATAAACAACCGCTTACATCTTTGAAATAAATATAATAGAGCACTTGCATAATTTTGTATGTCCTGTGCATCTTTAATATATCACAATAATACTGACAATATTGAAATAACAAAGCTGTTTCATTGCTATGCTAATTTTTTACACAAAATTTCAATATGACTTTTTTTCCCTAATATGCTTAAAATTTATATGAGGAGTCAGGTATACTGATAGCTAAGAGAAGCCATCAGCAGTTATAATAAATACTTGCATCAAAGTCACTTGAAAAAATGTACAGAATAAATCTGCATATGGTTTAAGAAAGATAGAAATCAACTAAACTGAATACATTAATTCAGTGGTTCTCAACCTTTTTTTAGCCCATGCTCCCCTTTCACTCCCTCCTTTGTAAAACTCGAAAAATATATATACATTTGTTTAAATTTAAATTATTCTTTAATATGCTTTATAAATTAAAGAAGAAAAAGTAGAGAAAATGTTGATAAATACACGATCTTGAACAAAAGCAATTTATTATATTCTTAAACTTAATATTTAATAGGTAAATAATAAAAAGCTGACTATATCCCCCTTAAACTATGAAATTCACCCCTAGTTGAGAACGCTTGCATTAATTCATTACATTAAAAAAATGAAATTAAAGAATAAAAAACAAAAATTAGCATTATATGCAAGCATCAAATTTTACCCCAGAAGTGGAACTTTTAAACAAAAATATGCTAACAAACACAAAAATTTGTGATAGTTTCACACTTATTGCAAAAATTAAGTAACTTATTTATACATATTTAACAGTTTTACAATATAATATAAAAGGACAGGGAGGTGAATAGAAAATGCCAATTTGTTTAATTGTCACTTTAATAGGGTAGAAATGTTTTAAAGAAAAACAAATAATTTTGATATAATTAAGAGCAAAATGATACAATTTAAGTTAAATTATTTTTAGTCTACTAAATTATTGTCTGTTTCTCTTTCCAGTGGTTATTACATTTTCTTTCTGATTTAAAAAATAAATAATACCTTTCAAGATTTATTTAAAACAATGAAATCTACTTTCTTGTATTATTACTATTAAAACATATCACACATTCCCACATTTATCAATATACATTTATAAAATACAAATAATTTTGAAAGAGATGTATTTTTCCTTTTAACTAACTTTTTTAATTCTGCAAACTTTACAGCTTTAAAACTTTAGAAAAATATATTAAAAAAAATTAATTATAATTGTTCATACATGCAAAAAAATTCTGAGTTTAAACACAATAGAAACACTTACCCTTTCTAAAACAGACCAAATTCTGGGATAAAACCCTCGAGGAACTCTATTCAAGGCTCCATCCAGTCTTCGCCTCCTCAGCCACTGACCTTGGCGGTCACTTTCATAGGATCCATCATCTACCTGTCCATCTTTTCCAAGTATGATATCTACAACACTCTTCTGAAATACAATAAATTTTATTTATTTATAAACTATGCTAAAAGCTGTTTCTGCTTTTATTGCAATTTTTTATTAGAAGGAAATTTAGTCCAGTTTCCTTTATCAACAAAAGAGTATTAATTATTTTAATTCAGCTAGTATGTCAGCCTTTTAATTCCAATTTCCTTTGCCATCTCCTTACAGAAGGTACTTCTTTTCATCTCCCCTTTCAATTCACAATCTACTGCCAATCCACCACAATGTTTTATTACATCAATGGTCTAAACCAGAGTTTTTTAAACTGTGGGTTGCAACTCCAACTGGAGTCATGATAGTAGTCTACAGTAAGGGGGTCACCAAAAATTTTAGCAATTTTAATATTTCTTTAACTTATTATAATAATTTTACAATTACCAAATATTTTTAAGTGATGTATCTGAAAATAGATAAAGATAAGACAATACAGACAAAGAAAAAACAAAAGCATTTCAATGCATTTTTTTATAACAAAAACATTCAATTTACTTTAAAATTTAAAGTTAATGACCTAAAACTGCAACAGTATATTACAGTACAAATGAAGAAACTGATAGTTTCACCCACACGTGTATAGAATTTGTGCAATGCTTATGGGGTCCCACAAAATTTTCGTAAAGATTATGGGGGTCTCCACACTAAAAAGTTTAAGAAACCCTTGTCTAAACACACAGGCTGCATGCAGGCCCTGAAGAAATTTTATGTGGCTTGCAAAGGCATTTCAATTATGCGCATTTGTTACAATATGATGTTGCAAAGATTTTAAAATTGTAGTTATGTGAAGTCCAAATTTATATTAACTTTCAATAAAATGAACATGAGTAATGCACCAGAAAATCAATAATGCAGCTAATTAATTTGCAATGAGCTACAAATCTTATTCAAATATTTGAAGAAAAAGATTTTATTAATTCTAATTTGTACCTGTCAAAAAATAAATGTTGTTTAATTTTAAGATTGTAAAAATAAAAACAAGCTTATATGTTTAGTTAAGGTTTACATACAAAAAAAATTAATTTCATTGTTTGTTTGATTTGAAGGAGAAATGATTTTATATTTAATCTTTTCCTATATTCAATAATCAAGTATGTTTGATAATTTTTTTTTTCCAATTTTATTTTTATTTCTGTTTTGATAAAACTGGACGGTGAGCAATTAATAAATATAGTGAGCAAGATGAAGTCAGTTATTAATTCTTGCATTAAAAATAATCACTTTGTTTGGAAGTATATTTATACGTGATTAGACTTTTTTCCACAGCTGAAAATTAATAAGAACACAATCAACCACACAATCAGCAATCTATAATGAAGATAATTTCTAGTAATTTCTCTCTGGGGCTACAAATTTCATTAAAGTGTCATTAAGTGTCCAGCAGTAGTAGGAAATACACAATTTCATAATTATTTCTGAGTACATATGAACATATGCACTTTTATTTATGCAATGAAGAAAAAATTAATAAATAAGTGATAATAAACTGTCATTATTTATTGTCAAGTTTGTCATAGTAAATTTTCATGAAATTTTAAAATTTTTTTACAATTTGTTTATTTTTAGTTCCAATTAATTAACATGTTACCATTATTTGAAAGAAATATTGGTCTAAGAATTTATTTTCCAGCTGTCAATATATCATGTATACAATGATACTTCTCAAGGTAACAACTATATACAGTGAATAATATTTCTCAAAACATTAATAAATAATGCTACTGAACACCATCAAAAGTCCCATTTTCTGAAGCTGTTACCAGACCACAAAATACTACAGTAAACAAGCAATTTTTTCTTAGAAATATATTAAGTTTCCAACTACAATACTTTGCTCTGAGACCTAAAAGTTTGCCAGCAGTGTACTTAAATGTTGCATTTAGTTTAGAAGCAAGACAGAAGATAACTGAAATTGCCTTCTGCCTATGCAAATAATAAAGGACTCCTATTTGATGTTCAACAGGGGCTAGCAACTGAAGAAATAACCTAAGTGAGTAACTCATTATAGCCACCTCATTTTGTGCATGAGACTACAGGTCATCACCATATAAGGCAGAGGATGTAGCACAACAGGAATTCTATTCTCAAAAAGTGTGGATCTTACTTTGCTCTAAAGCCTAGCCATCTCAACTGCTTTCAAAGGAGAACAAGTGGTCCACTCTATTCGCTACAAAACATACAGAATGAGTAGTAATATAAATCAATGTCTAATGAGATTGGTCCATAGCCCACCCAGCCTGGAGAATAAAAACTGGAACCTGGATTGTATATAAGATACACCTTGAGCTGAGACAATCAGAATATAGATCTCAGCCAGTACAATAAATGATTCCAGATAGGTCTCACTGGGTCAAAAATATTCAAAGAAACATTGTGATGTTTCAACTATTCTTTCATGGGTATGACAGCAACTTAAACCAGCTACATCTACAGGCAGAAACTAAGCCAGCACCTCTGTGCCTGAGGCCTCTGACTGGCCAGTACTACAGGTGATAAAGATATTGCTGAACCTAGCTAACAGATAAGTTTCAGTCCCAATTTGAGAAGGAACAATTGAGGGAGAATACGAGCGGTCCAAACGTCTCTCACCTTCTTTCCCTACCACCAATCACTTGAGAGGACTTTCAGCTAACCAAGAGTTTCAGATGCCGCCTTGCCACCTATACACTATACACTTTAAAATGACAATGCCATCTACGGGATTTGAACCTGGACGTTTCAGATTGATAGTCAACATCACTACACTATCCTCTCTGGGCAGTGTATGCTGAGTACACTGGATTATTGCACTATGATAAAGCACTTATGAGCCATTTGCCTCTAGGAAGAAATGCCTCTTTTGACATCTTTCTTGAAAACTCCTGGCATTTACAGAAAAGCAATGAAAACTTCATTCAGTCAGCCTGTAAAATTGCTGCAATAGAATCTTGAGCAAACTATCTGTTTTATGGCTTTAGCCACAGTGGGCTAGAGGCTCAGTGATTTGATATGAAATTTAAAACATAATACAAACGCTGTGCTTTACAGCTAAAAATTTTAAGACATTTTAAATTAAAAGAAGAAGCTTTAAGATATGCTTCTGTGATCTTCACATGAGTTAATTCTTAAATATAGACATACTGGTTAAATGCTTAAATAAAGTATGCAGTAAAAATTCTGCTTTTTAGAAAATTAAGTGCAAAGATTCTTTGAAATATTACACTTAACTATTTTAAGGTTATTTGTTAAAATGTTAATTTGGCAGAATAATTATTGTAATAATAATTTATTGACATATCAATTTTTGGAGCATTTCCGGACTAATGAAAGCCTTTTAATTGAAATAAGGGGACATGGGAAAAAAAAAAATGACATTTCCATGTAAAAAGTTAAGCAAGAATGATTTCATAAAAACAGAAGTTTAACTGAAAAGATGAAGAGACTAAAATATTATTCAAATGTAGTGTATAAATTTTGGCTAATTAATATGTAAACACTTTTTATATACCATATTTACACACATATTAGTGTTTTCAGCACATAATTTAAACACTTCTTATTTACAATAATGATGTAAAATGTATCCACAAATGGGAAAGTATTTTGTGTAAATGAAAAGAATATTACTGAAACTGCTAAGTCCTTTGAAATACATAATATAATAATACTGGTCTTTTTAATGTGCTGTGCTTATCATTAAAGCTATGTCTTCAGAAACTTGATGTTTTCTCCTCCTGCTTTTCAAGCAGTGAAGCTAATAGGGAAAGGGGGCCTATAAGTAAGTCAATACGGTATATGTTAATTTAAAAAATATAACTAGAATACAGCAACTAAAACTCACTAACCTTACTTTGGACTTTACTAGGATTCGCAACAGATACAACGCCACTTCGTGCTAGGCAAAAAAATTATGCAGAATTAAAAAAATTTTGTACATATTTTTAAATTGCAAAACATAAATTAAAAAATATATCATGTACAATATTTACCATAGAAATGCCTATTTCTCAATTCTAGGAGCAGCATGAATTTTTAAAATCTGTTAGATACAAATGCAAATGTTCATATTTTAATAGAAAAATAACACATATTAAATACATACCACTCTTTACAACAAATTCTTTTCCACTTAAAATGTGATGCAAAAGCATTTTCACTTCAAATGGACTAAGGTTCAATAAATGCTCAGATGCTTCATCTCCTGCAAAAGGAAATAAATATGTGCATTATAATTTTAAAATATTTATAATTAGCAATTTATAAGAAAATAAGGAATACTGGGAACATTTCAAATTAAAATAACACATCAGTGGCACTGATAATAACTGATCTTAAATAGCAAATGTTTCATTACACTGATCAGTGCAAAAAGCTTTGAACTAATGAAAGTAAATTCCTTTATTTCCGAAAATTAATGACTATCTATTATTTATTATGAATAGGATCTTAATTATATATATATCTATAACATTATTTTACTCTAATTTATTTTTTAGATTTATCAAAACATTTGATGCTCCCTTGGAAGAAAAAATCTCTCCTAAATATTAAAAATATTTATCTCAGACTTTTTCACAAGAACGTACAAACAGAGAAAATACAAATAAAGAAAAGAGAAAAAAGAAATATATTATAAGAAAAGTCATACCAGAACATTTAAGTGACCGAGCTAATTCTGATGCCATGACTTGAATTATTAAGCCTACTCTCAGTCTCAGCATCTCTTGAAACAGCTGTGGCTCTGTTCTTATAAACATAGCTAAATATACTAATAATTCCTATAATAAAATACAAAAGATATTAATGAAAAATAAACTATAATAAACTTGAAAAATTATTTTATGTGTATACAAACAATTTTTATTTACTATTTAAATGATTCAATAACATAATAAAACTATATGATTAACATTTTAAAATTTAATGCAACTTAAATGATTCCATTTGAAATAAACATCAGTTCTTATGTAATAAAAGATGCAAATAATTCACATCAATTCCATAAACAAAACAAAACAAAAAAAATAACAAATTATAATAAAAATGATAAAAATAAAAGCAGTAAAAAATACTCCTACTCCATTAATCAATAAAGAAAGTGGCAATCACACTGAAATTATAATATACACACAAAATAATAATAATGCTATTAATACTACAAAATATAATGTTAAAAAACAACATTTATTTTTTCAGGGTCATGCAACTAATTACTCTAGCTGAACTCGTAAGAATCATTACACATTTATTTATTTTTCTCTTTTTTATGCAGTAAATGTTTTAGGTAACAGGTGGAACAAGCATCTACTATGTAAAAATTATTAAATTTTTAATTATTATATTAAAAATAATATATTCTAATATTAAGTATATAGGAATGTAAATACAAAATGACATTTTAAAAAATTTATTAGATTAGAAATAATAAATAGTTTCATGAACTTATTTAAAGTTATTTACATTCATTGTTGTATTTGTATTTACATTCCTATATACTTAATTAGATAATTATTTTTATATAATAATAAAAATTTATAATTTTTACATATTAGATGCTTGCCCCACCTGTTACCTAAAACATTTACTGCATAAAAAAGAGAAAAATAAATAAATGTGTAATGATTCTTACGAGTTCAGCTACCGTGATTTTGGAGGTCCTGCTAGTAATTCATGAAAATAAAGATGAAGAAGTGCATTTACTGCTTTTGAATCACTTTAGACAAAAATTTAAACGAAAAATATTTTACACTTTGGAAGATAAAAATATTTAATTTTGGCAATGGTAACATATTTCTTTTAAAACACTGAGTTTGTTAATCAGAATTTCACTAAGTTTACACCAAGCATAAAATAAATTCAAAATACAGAATTTGGACTTAGGTGCACATGATCACATGAAGAACTACAAGAATTCCAATTTAGGCAGCTCTAGGTGCCACCATTTCTTCACAACATGAAGCACACACACTGTGAAAATTTTGAAAATTAACGCTGATTTTTGTTGTTTGACTTCTGAATTAGTATTATACTGGAGGTTCTAATAATCTCAATCTTTACTTTTTTGACCACATCACTTTTCAAATAAAAGGACTTTGCCACTAAATGTTATCACCATGTATTATTTTTTAAGAAATAATACAACTAATAAAAAATGCATGGCAACACAAATAAAAAGATATTGCCACGCAGTACTATCACCATATGTTAAAGAAATAATATAGTGAAAATTAAAAAAATTTATATGTTGGAAGATTCATAAGATATGCCGTTTTGAAATGTTTTGTCATTTTATTGCTCAACTCATTTCAATGTGTAAAAAGTTATAGTTAATAAGTAAAGTTAAAAAAGATAAAATGTTTATAATAAACCCCCCCAAAAAAAAAGAAGAAGAAATGGAAACCATCTTATTAAGAAAGTTGAGCACTGATATGATAAACTGAGGAGAAAGGAAAAATAAAATTTAATGGCAACACTTAACACCATATTAGGAATTCTAAACATATATTGGCTTTTAAAAATTTTCCTATTTTGCTGTTGAATTTTATGTGAATTAAAAAATGGTATTGGATTCTAACATTTAATTATTGTATCTAGATATTATTTACTCCCCTTCTGTATGCCAAACGTCTAAACACTACATGCATTTGCTACGGCAATACTTGGTGATTCTGATAAGGAAATCAATAACACATTACCTTGTAGCTGGCAAGTAAAGTATGTGAGTGTGAAAGAGTGAAGAAACTGATGTTTAATAATAAAGATGAAAAGGCAGGCAAAAAAAAAAAAAAAAAAGTTCAGTTAGCAGGAGTGATCCCAAGAGCAGATTGGTAAACTCCAAGCCCTGTGAAAGCATAAAAATTAATACCCCTCCGGCGTGATAACAAATTTTTTAATGCTTTTAGTTTTTTTTTTCCTTTTAAACATTTTAACCAAAACAAAAATATCTTGCAATTCACAAAACATTATTATTTTTTATAAATGGAGGCATGTACTTACAGCAACGAATTCCTTCTTTTCCTTTTAATATGCAGAATTTTTATAAGTAAACAGCATTTCACTCAGTATTGATTATAATTATAAAGTTCATAAATGACAAAACATTATTAAAGCCAAAATACAGCATGTAAAAGTAGTGGTCGCAGCACAGTAGATATTCTGGAAGGTTACAAATATTGTCTTGATTTGTAGTTTTTAAAAGCTGATTAAAATAACATCATTTCTAAAAAAATCTGAAAATTACATTTCAGATGAACTTTTCATGAAAAATATAGCTTTACCTCCCTTTGTATGGATATAAATTTAAAACTTTTATCCCTCATATAAAAAGTATACTGCTATACCTTTTCAAATTTGTATGCATATTTAAAAACTGCTCAAGTTTTAGACATAATCATGTTTGCTGTCAAAGCTGATATAGCACATCCATTCACATGCACTAAGATCTTATCGGCATTTTTACGCTTTTAATTATTTTCTGTTGCTTTATTATTTAAATACAGATATAACAAATTATTTTTAGCAGTAAATAAATTCACATGAGTATGCTTGTAGGTAGTACATGAGATAACATTTTTGCTCCCTGTGCAAACTAAGAGATGACTTGGAATTAGATAAACAATACTCATGCATTTCACACTTTACTGAAAAACTCTGTATGTATGATATGTTATTTTCTATTAGTTTTACATGATTCACTAAAAAAAATTGAGTGGTCCATTTATAACATTTTCCAAGTAAATTAAAAAAATGGTTTTGCATTCTAACACTTAATTATTGTATCTACGTATCCCTTCATATATGCCAAACACCTAAACACTGCATCCATTTGCTATAGCGATACTCAGTGATTTTGATAAGTAAATGAATAACAAATTACCTTGTAGCTGGCAAGTAAACTCAGCCTGCCAACTATGAGTATTCTCATAGATGGCAGTGAATGAGTTAATGGCAAAAACTGAAATCCATCTCAAGAACCTGGGATGAAAAAATTAAATTCTAAAAATTTTAAATTACTGTAAAATCAATGATATTATTCTAAAACCTCTGTAAAAATAATTACCAAATAATATCAAAAATATATTATTTCACTTTTTAATGTATATTTCATATTCTTTACTTAGTGTTTTATATGTTGGAAGATTCAAATTGTCATATTCTGGGGGGGGGGAACTGATGATAAACTGAGTTCTTCTAATTTCAGAAAATCCAAAAATTTTTTTAATTTTGTAGTTCAAAGTAATAAACATTTTCAGCTAAAACTTCCTTTATATAATTCTAGGCCCACAACAGCTCCAATTACATTAAATCTTGAACTTAAAAGGCTATTTTTAGTTTACAAATTTAGATATTTTGAGGCAACATAAAATATATTAATATAAATAAATAACACAAATGCCCCACTATATATGATAAAACGAAATATCATAGGCAATAATACAATATCACGTAATCACAATAGATTACACCTTAAAAAAACTCACCTGAGTTAACATAGCTGTACTCTGATCACTTCCATGAGCATTATGAATGATTGCAATTAAATCTTTTGATGGAATAGGCCTGTTACACAAAGTTAGATATTTCAGTTCTATAAAATAACATATTATAATAACAACAAAATTTTGCCAAGAGTGGTAAAGTATAAAAACTAATTTATTCAAACTAATACACTTTGTATAACACAGCTTTTAGAATAAACCATGAGAAATGTTTTGAACAGTTAGACACAGATATAAATATTGGATAAAATTATAACACATATTTATATACGAAATGCAGATGCATGTATATCTATGTTATTGAAAATGTAGTTAAATAGTAATGTTAGATCCAACTCATCAGTAAGAAGACATGAATTTTACCCAGGAAATTAAATCATTAACTACACAAAAGTAAAAATCTAAGGTACTAAAACATAAACAAGGAAGAAAAGAATGTTAATCTGTTGGAAAGTTCCTTTATGTTAATTAACCAGTTATTTTATGATTTAGACCTTCACTGATACTTCTTCCTTCCGTTTCCATCTCTGAATGCAAATTAGCTTGTGTGCATTTAAGATCAGGTTTTTAGATTGTAAGATAAAGCCTGTTTTGCTTTTCAAGACCACGCTACAGGTTGCTAGCTGAGAAAAGACATTTTTGTCTTCAGCCTTGTGTTATAATTACCAATATTGAATCTCCATGTCCATTAGATTTAAATGCCAACCTCATGTTAAATTGGCCTGTGCTGCCTTTAGCTATTAGCTTATTTAAATTTAATTTTGCATTTGAACTTAGTGTTATTTTAAGCTATCTCATCATAAGTGCTGTCTGAGTTTGTACATACTATATGTCTCTTCTGATCTTCTTAAGTTTAAAATAAAAGGTCTTTTACACCATTTTCAAGGCTCAGTTGTTATTTCAGACTTAGAAGTAGTCCATTGTCAGTCTATCTGAGCTTTGGTTACAATTTATGATACCCAAGAAGATTTTACAAAACTTTATAGTATGATCATCTTTGAAGTTTAATCTTTTATGGAACACTGTCAATACCAATGATAACAATAGGAAGATTTTCTCTGAGAATGACAAAAAATCAAAAAGATTTTTTAAAAATACACTGGAATGTACCCTTATGTAGAGAATAAACTACCAAAAATAACTGCATACTACTCAGTGTATTTTTATATATATTTTGCTATGCTTACATGTTTTAATGTAAAATATGAATTTGCTTTTAAACTATAAAGCTGATTTAAAAAGAGAAAGAAAAATGGTTGGCTTCTCTTCTCATGTCTGATATTGTTTTCTTTTCTCTCTCTCTCTCTCTCTAGTATTTTGGAAATCAGTTAAGTAGGTATTACACTAATCGCACAAACATCAGTAACATTATAAAGAACTACATATATAATTTTTAAATTGTTAATTTTGTGACATTGATAACCCATGTATTGCTACAAATATGAACTATATATCACATATCTCAGAACTGACAGTTCATCAGCCTACATGGATGCTCAGTACAATAATAGTTAAATAATAAAACCAAAAAGACAATATACACTTGTTGTAATATCAATTTTAGAGTAAGTTCTTCATCCATTCACTTTACTGAGAATTTGTAAAAGCATAATTGAATCTTATTGAAAATATCCAATTTAGATCAATTCAAAAATCCTTCTGTTGCCATTTTTTCTGAGAAAAATGCCGGCTTCCTGGTAATTTCTTTATCCATAACTAATACACAACTTCAAATTTTAAAAACTTTTCCAAAAGTCACAAGGATAATCAATGACACCATTAACATTCTCAATAATAAAACCCGATAAAATAAATTTATACCGAACATATCTCAAAACTGTTTCTTCATATTTCAAGAACAGTTTTCATTTTCTTTTATTTAAAGAAAGAAGTATTAATAAATTAACATGAATTTATGGCAATGTTTTATCACCATCAAACCCCATAAGAAGAAAGAACTAAGAACCACAAACTTCAGCTAATAGTTAAAAACAACTTTATTTAACATTAAAAAAAAAAAAGAAAGAAAAAAAGAAAAAAGAAAAAAAAAGAAAGAAAGAAAGAAAGAAAGAAATCTCATTTTACAGAGAGGCTAATTATTTAAACATTAACACACACATGAGCCAATGCAAAACATCAGCCCTGAATAGGGGGGGGGGGAAGTTACAAATAAGCAATAAGTAAATCTCAGCAAAAAAGTTCAAGTTTTTATCCTCACATTATGGCAAGCATATATGCATACTGTGCAGCAAAGATAACTGTTGCCATTCACTGCAATGAGGATTTCCATAATAAATTAAAGACTTATAAATCAACATTCAGCTCTTAAGAGCTTCATGCCCTATCAATGCCAGCATTACATATAAAATTTGTTTTATATTGGAAAGAGATTATTTACACATTGACAGCAGTATGGATATTCTTTGTTCTTTTCGCCCAGTGGTGTCTGAATTAGTGGTCCGTTTCATGGTACGTCCATTTTGTGAATCTTCCTAGTGAAGTAATAATAACAGAAAAGAAAAAAACATTTTTTAAATTTGTACGAAGGATCCGCGAGGAAGACTACAAAACGATGCAAAGAATTTTATAAATGCAAGCTTAAAAGGTACTCAGTGCACCATGAATAGAGCAAAATAAATAACAACATATTGCGATAATTGTAAGGGCATGCTGGCACTTTATTTAGCCTGCTTTAGAAAATTGCATAGAAAAAATTAATAATTACATTTAATTTATAAGTTACATTTTAAATTATTTGTTTTGTATTGAATGTTTGATTATAATGTTGAAATGTTAATGTATACTGTTGAATAATTAAAATAAAATTAAGAGGAAATGTCAATATACAACACCTTGTAATAGTTTCTTCACATATTGAAGGCATTCCTATGGTAACTTGCTTTTGTCTAACCAATAAATCTGTAACAGCCTAAAATAAACAAGCAAATAAATGAATGATATATTGACTCGGGCAAACCTATCCAGTTATAAATTTACAAAACATCTATAAATTATTTCAAAAAGAAATCAGTTTTACTAATGTTATATTAGCATGCTTGCATAATTTTGTTGTTATGTTGATCATAAATATTACTTGAACAATTCAACACTTTTGCATTTGATTATATCTATATTACAATTTTTACATTGACTATATCTACATAATACTATTTTACACTTGACTATATTTTATACCATCATTTTTATATTTAATGTATCTTAAATGTGATTATACATTTTATTAAAATGATTCAAGAAGTTCAAGAAAAATGGAAGAAATTCAGTACATTTAATATTATAAACTATCTACCAATAAGTATTTGGAAACCCATGCAAATGTAGATAACTGCAGTTCTGATATACATCACACACTCTATCCCTAAGTATCGTATAGAAGACAACATTCGCATTAGTTGCATGCAAGATGCCACAAAGTGCAGAGTTATCTGATTTCGAGATTGGTGTAATCACTGGGTATCACAGAAATAGCTGATTCTTAAGAGGCATATCTAGCGAGCTGAATAACCCAAAATCGACAGTGACCTATGTGATTAAGAAGTGGAAAGTGAGCAGTGATTGTTGGGAGTCAGTAGACCCACAAAACTGGGAGATAGAGATCGACAGGTGCAGTCCAAGAGAAATTCTAAAGAACCACACCCAGCTGCTGGTCCATATATGCCAGGAGTTTCAACAGGCATCCCTGAGTGTTATTTCGATGAATACCATCTGTAAGGAAGCAGATCCATTTTGGTTTTAATGGTCATGCTGCTACTTATAAGCCTTTGGTCACAAAGTCCAACCACCCTGCCTAGTTAATGTGGTAAAAAGCATGTCAACAGTGGACTGTAAATCAATGGAAATGGGTTCTGCAATCAAATTAAGGTTCACCCTCTACTATTTGGATGGGAGGGTCCGAGTCCAGCATCTGCCTAGAGAACACCTACTGCCAGAATGCACTGTGCCCACAGTAAAGTTTGGGGAAGGTGGAATAATGGTCTGGGTGTGCTTCTCCTGGTATCGGCAGGGACCCTTGGTCCAAATTCCTGGTAAGCTCAATGCCGATGCCTACTGCACTATTTTGGATGACAGTGTACTTCTTATGTTGTAGCAGTTTTACAGGTTGGACTCATGTTACTTTCAAGACGACAACGCCAGCTGTCATACCGCAAGGTTCACCAGAGATTGATATGGTGACAATGGGGTTAACCAAATGGACTGGCCTGTCAGCAGCCCAGACCATAACCCTATTGAGAACCTCTAGGAGAAGTTGGATTGATGTATTAAGAGACACAACAACCGTCAAACACGGGTGAAGGAATTGAACAACCAAAACTTTCAAAAGCATGCCCTGGAGAGTTGGGGCTATAATTCCTACTTTTTAACCTTAGTAGTTTGAAGTGATAACTAGAGATCATCCTGTCATACTGAGAAGAGCTGTATGAGTACTTTTGTGGAAAGTTCCAGAAATGTAAAGTAAATGGTAAAAATAAATGTTTTCTAGCTATCATTGGTTACATATGCATTCAATCCATTACGAGCCCATACACACGTAACAATTTTTGGTGTCAGAAGTGTGCCTGAATGCTGGTGACAAGAAAATTGCAGGAGCAACTCAGACAGCGGGTCACAGTGTTTTCTGCATTTAAAGAGATGAAAGTAGGCCAGGAATCTGTAAAAGAGGAGTTGAAAGTAGGACGAGAAAAGATGGAAGGGGTCGTCAAATCCGTTCATGAAAAAATGGAAGCGAGCCATGAAAAGATTGAAGCAGATCTTGAAGAAATGAAAAAAGAAATTACTGGCATAATAGAAAACAAGTTCAAGGTTGTGGAAGGCAGAACAGACATGGTTGAAAATAAAGTTGGAGAAATTACAGAAAGAGTTTCTACTGTCGAACAACAAATCTATGACAGACTTTCTGCTGCTGTCACAAAGGAAGCTGACTGCTTAAAAAAGACCATAGCTGGACAGAATTCTGATGCCTTTAAATTCCCATTTATGTCTTTCCGACTCTCTCTAAAGCTATCCACTTATGATGAAAAGACCTTCTAGCAAGTGAACATGACTTAGTTCTCAATAGTGGCAAGTGCAAATGGATCAGATTCCGAAGCTAAAACCTGGCATCTCGCCATTTCTCTGAGAGCAGACGCAGCAGATATCCTTCAAACTCTGCCCAAAGACCAATGGGTACATTTAGGAGCTTTATCCAGCATATTTGAATTGTGTGAGATGTTTTTAAATGAAATGGCGTACTTTGGTAAAAATCTCTTCAACACAAGCCCATGGAAACACTTGTGGAGCTTACAACATCTGCTGAAGGGCTGCTTCATCTTGCTTTTTCGTACTGCCCAACAGAAACCCAGTCCGTGCAGTATTTCATTAATGCCATCCAGGATCCTGAGATACAGAAAGGCTTGCGAATGGCAGATGTCAAGGATCTAAAAAGCTCTTTAGTGTAGGCCATAAAATTTGAGGCAGCCCATCAAGCAACTTGCAGAGAGTGCCACCCAATTAGAGATGCTCAAGTCTAGGAGACAATGGATTAAGTGACAGCTCGTCTAGACAATTTAAAAAGTTAACTCAACGCCTTGAGGTGAAATAGAAGTGTCAAAAAACTATTGTTAAAATACCGTAACTATGATAATGAAAGCCACATATGAAAGAAATGCAGAATACACTAGGGCTTGGAAAAATAAACACTTCCCAGGAAGCAAATTATTGGCCATCTCGTGGAACAGAGGTTGCTAGTTATTGAGAAGCCCAATTATAAGGCACTTCAGATTTCTGCAATTTGTGGTGGCAGTAATACACTTTTCATCATAGGACTTATCGAGTCCTTTGCAATATTGATACAGAAGCCAATATTACCATCATCCAAAATGATCTGGTTTAATGACTGGAAGATAAACTTATGATGGCACCCTGCATTATTCACCAAATGCAGTGATAAAATTGACATCGACAGAAAGTGAAACATTAGCATCATATTTGGAAGTGCCATCTAACATTACAAGGCATATGTAGAAAATATTACATATCCTTGCATACTCGGGTTAGACTTTCTAAGAAAATCTAATTTCTCCTTGGACTTTGACATAACCATGTTTGGAATTAAAGGAGTTAAATCCATCCAACAAATCATAGTTCAATACGTTATCACAGCACCAACAAGAACAGAATTTTTACGACCTGGATACATAGCCAAAAACAGAAAATGGCATATGGGATATCCTAAGAACTTTAGCAGCCTAAAAGGAGGATCAGTAGCCTTGGTACTCATCAACTTATCTAGGACCATCATCCTGCCAATGTCAGTGATAAAGTTATTAGGAAAGGCAAAATGTTTGCAGTATGTACTCCAGTGACCCGTGTTAAACAAATCAGTTGTCCTCCACGGTCTGTGCCTTCAGAGAGCCTAACATTGAAGTTATTGCAGAATGCCAAACTAAGTGATGAAACGAGGAATGCTGTAGAAACCCTCTCTTCAAGAATTTCAAGATTATTTTCTCCCACACATATTCTGATGTAAGCTGAACCAGTTTAGCACAGCATAAAATTTATATAGCAGATCAACCACCAATCAGACAACATCCAAGATGTCTATCAGAAGAAACAGAAAAAGGTAGAAAAACTTCTAAAGGACTTGCATGAAAGCAATGTTATTGACCCTTCGGCAAGTCTTTGGGCCTCTCCCATCATCCTGGTTAGAAACAAAGACAGTTCAACTAGATTTTTGAATTGACTATTGCTGGCTGAATAACATGATGAAGGCAAACAGCTACTGTCTTCCAAGAACTTATGACATTCTGGATACTCTTTTGTGGAAGCTAGTAGTTCCGAAGCTTGATTTGATTGGTTTGGTTTATTTAATTATGGCAAAGCATACCATACTAGGGCTATCTGTTTAAGGGGAGGGATGCCATCGTAGAGGTCTTTCTAAGGGAAACTGGCTTCTATACACGTTACACAAGGGGAAAACCACAAAAATGCCCATGCAGCCAGCCTGTTCGCGGGATTTGAACCTCGGACCGAACTACCAGTGTTCAGCAACTTTACCACTCGGCTGCAGGTGGGCTCGAAGCTTGATTTGAAGAGTGGATATTGCCAGGTAGAGATATACCCTGATGACCAAGAAAAGACAAAATTTACTACTAGAAGAGGACTTTAGCATCTCAAGGTGGATGGGATCATCTGTTTGGATTACATAATGCACCAACAACATTTGTATGCCTTATGAAAATCCTATTGATAGGACTTTCCTGTTAAGCCTATCTGATATACCTAGATGACATCATTATTGTTGGGAAAACTTTTGATGAGCATTTAGAAAGGTGCTTTAGAAATTGAAGGAAGCCAATTTAAAGCTAAGTGCCATCAAAAATACATTGTTCAGACAGGATGTGACTTAGGTCAGACATGACATCTCTGCTGAAGGTGTGTGCACGGATCCAGAAAAAAGTGGCAGCAGTAAAAGACTGAAAATGTCCACCAGATGAGAACTTCCCTGGAGCTTTGCACCCTATAGAAGATTTGTAAGACAGCTTATAGCAGAGACGCTTAGCTCATAGAAGATTTGTAGAGCTCATAGAAGATCGCAAAGCCCCCTTCAAAGACCGACAGACAGCAAGCATAAGTTCTTGTGAACAAATAAATATGATGATGCATTTAAGAAAATAAAAGAGGCTTTTACACCTGTGAAAATAATGAAGTATCCTCAGCTTGACAAACCATTTATTCTTGACACAGATGTGAGTAATGAGAGTGTCGGGGCTGTTTTGTATAAAAAAATCAATGGTAAAGAACATGTTGTAGCAAATTAGGGAAAGTATCTATTGTAGAGGAATTATTGTGTTGCTAGAAAAGAGTTGCTCGCCATAGTTAAACCTATTCAACATCTCCGCCATTACCTCTATGGCAGAAAACTCCTTTCTGTACAAATCACGTATCATTGAACTGGCTCTTAAATTTTAAGAATCCTGAAGCCAAAATAGCCAGATGTATTCAGAGACCCCCAGGAATGTGACATTACTATCTGTCACTGGAAAGGATCGTCACATAGGAACTCCAGTGCCCTATCTAGAAGACCATGCCCAGAATGTTCCCAATACTGTCCAAGAGTCAAAGCAAAATACAAGCTGGTTAATCCAGTCGGACATCAAGTCACAATTGTAGCACTGTCCAATCCAGATCCACAAAGTCCAGCCCAGATTCACGATGAAGTCAGAAAAGACCAGCTGAAAGACAGTGAAAGTAAATGTATAATTAACTTAATGGCGTCTTCAAATAGGAAACCTATATGGCAGGGCATTTCGATCTATGATCCTACGAACAAAAAAATACTGAGCTTTACGGGAATTGTTCCATAATCAAAACAGAATTTTGTACCAGAAGTTTGAATAGGATGATGGAAAGACATTCTGATGGAAGCTGAAACTTCCAAAATCCAGATCTTGGATGTCATTGAAGAATTCATAGCAGTCTGACAGGAGGCCAAATCAGAATAATGAAGACTGAAAAGAGTTCAAGAGAACTGATGTACATAAGTTCTCTTGAACTCTTTTCAGTCTTCATTATTCATTATATGATGTACATAAGTGGTGCCAATCTTACGATGATGGTGGAGGTCAGAAGGAACCAAAAAATGCAGTTGTGGGAAGCTGCAACGTTACAGTGTAGAAGCTCCTTTGAACACACTGCTTTCCACTTCCTGGGAAATCTGCCATAAACTATTGATGGCCACAAATTTTTTTCATAAATAAATTCAGTGTTCGTTGCTCTATGTTCAGTGCTGGTTGCAATTTTATTCAAGGTGCAAGTCGATCTGAAAGGCCTTTAATACCCATTACAGACAACAATAAGTGAGCACTTGATGATGCAATTAGGACACTTCTCAAAAGATCTCAACATAGGCTTCGGCAGCATGCAACACATTATCCAGCATGGGTAAAGTCTGCAGTCAGTGGATACCATGGCTGTTGGATTCTGAACAAATGTCAAACCAGATAGCTGTTTGCCTGAAGCACCTGATGTGCTTCAATGTTGAAGGCAACACATTCCTCGACAACTGCAAGCCTGAGTCAAAAGTGTTAAATATGCAATGATATCATCCTTTGTCATCTCCCCTGAAGAAGTTCAAAGGCCAGTCAGTCATCTGCTGGAAAAGTTGTGCTGACCCCTGATCTCTAATTTCCAGGGCCCACTGCTTTTTGATTTCAAGGATATCCAGGTGTCTCCATTGGGGAAAGGTACTGTGAAATGCTGGAGAGATTACAATGAACAATTAAGATGAAAAATTTGGGGAAAACAGTGGAATGAGGTGTTCTGCTTTAAAATAACTCATGTCCCCATATCACAAATGCTGCAAAGAAGAAGTTAGACACACAAAAGTGGGAAACACTCGAACACCCACCTTACAGTCCTGATCTCTCCCCATGTAATTTTCACCCTTTCAGTCCCTTAAAAAGTCCTTGAAAGATCTACAGTTCCAGCTGGATGGAGAAGCGCAGCAAGCAGTTTTATACTGCTTCAAGCAGCAGAAAAAGGAGTTTTACTTAATGGGTATATTCAACCTGGTGAAGTGGTGGGATGATTGCCTGAAATCTCAAGATAATTTTGCATAGCTGACATATCAAATCTGAACTATACAGCCTTCGAATAGAAATTTTTTAATTGGTACTTATATTCAAATCAAGCATATGTATTTTTATTAATGTGTTGAAACAAATTTAATAAATAAGAGAAATAGATTAGGTTCTCATTATTTATGCTCAATTTTGTTTAACTTGGAAAATTTTAAGTTTTCATAATTTATTTATCTTTATTTACATTAAAGTAAGTTATTTAATGATTAATTAAGCATGTCAGAACTGTCTTTAATAAATGAAAGTTTGAAAATTTAGTTGTAATCAACAAAAATCTATTGCACTTTAGGTTTCAGATAGAAAATAAGTATAAATTTGAATTCCCTCTCTTTGTGATGTTATTATAATTTTTATATATGTTTTGATAAAATGTTTAGTTAGTGAAATTTAAAATATATTTAAAGTAATTGTTTTTTAACAAAAAATTTTCATTTTGTTAAAAAAAAATCTGGCTTGGCAGCTGTTTTCAGGCTGTGCATATGGCCCACAATTTTAGTTTCAGACCACTAACCTAATGCATTCATACATACATATCTGATATTACAATGCATATTTTCCTGTCACTCAAATGAGAAAATAGATGATTTTTTTAAAGCATCAGTTCAAATTAGTTTAAAATACTACCAAACACAGCAGAAAATCATTGCAATGTTAAAAAAACTTATAATCAAGAATTTTTTTTAATTAAATGAAAAATTTAAGACTGACCTTTAACATTTATTATTAAAAAAACAAAAGCAATTGAACTTTTATGCTTGAACTTAGATCTAATAAATTAGTCATTCACTTTTCTTGAGGGTAAGAGTCCCAAACAACAAAAAGATTTTAAAATAAATGTAGCTAATAGTAAAACAAAACAGAGATAGGTTACTAGGTATAAAATATTTATTTCAATATAATAATATTGAAAAATAAGCATTGTTAAATTGTCAAAATGAAAGCAAATATTTAAATACCTATACTCATAACCATTCAGAATCCTGATATAAATTATTCTTAAATATTATACCTTTGCATAGCTGAATCATGGGATTATTTTAATAAATAAAATAAAAAATTCTTTCCAGGAAAAAAAACCTAAAATTTTAACAATACATTACTATTATTATTGTAGCATAGCTTTCATGCAAAACATTATAAAAAATATTGATAGCTTACATTTTATATGAAACAAAGTAAAACAAACAAAAAATCTACAATTAATTACCATACATTTTTAAAACTATGAAAGCAGCATGATTTTCCTTTAGAGATTGCCTATATTTTTATTTACCTAACATTTCTAAAGACCTTGAATTTTGAAAAATCTTATTTTAAGAAAGACAAAATAATTTTATAAATATATCAACAATAATTCGAGATTTAATAATGATGCATATTCTTAATATACTGAATTACAGATAATTTCAATAAAAATGAATCAAACTCTGCAACAATAAATGATTTCAATGATAAATATATTAAATTATAGTTCATTTTAATAAAAATCAGTCATAATTTAGGATAATAAATATTCTAAATGGTGATGCATTTCATGATTTTTTATTTTATTTTATTTTATTTTATTTTATTTACAAAGTAAAAAACTGCTGACTACTACTATACCAGCAATATTTAAATTACAGTTAATAAATGATTACTTAAACTTTTAATTATACACATATCATATCAATTACCTACTTTTGCTAAATCTTCTACCTTTTTCCCCAGCATACCTGCAATGTGCCTCACTAAAGCCCACTTCTTTTCATGACAAGCCTTAAAGAAATGCAAGTGATTTTAAAATTATGTACCAAGTAAGTACATTAAAAAATAATATCGATAATAAAAGATTTATTCTAGCATGCAACATTTCACAAAATACGTACTTTTTCATACAAATCTTTTAATAAATCTTTTATAGTAATTATCTCATGGTCACCACCAAGACCGGTGTCCCAATTTACACCCCTAAAATAAATTTCATAACTTATTTTTGAATTTTTATACATGAAAGATTTACATGTATAAATATTATAAATTTATAAAACAAAAATATATTTAAAAATAGCTTGAAACTTCTTAATAAATTCAAACATATAACACTCTGAATTCACACACAATTTCATCTACTTCTATGAATTCAAAAGTTATTTTACTCATAGCATGAGTAAGGTTATCAGTAATTGCAATGATGACAAAATTAATACTATTAAAATTGATTTCAGATATCACAACCATTTTCATATAATTAAAAGATAGACAGTGTCCACAAAGTCCCTAAAGAACTTTAATACTCTATTGTTTGGAAATGGAACAACTTATATTTTTGGTACTGGCCACATCTTCACCAACATGGTTCAAAACTTTTGTAATAAGTAATACCAGTTATAAAACTTTGATGTGCACACCACTGGTTGCTCTGGCAGATGGTCTTCTAACTACAGGGAATGTAATTAACCCTTTCAGAATGGGCATCCCATATACACTTTCCCTATGAACATCTCTCACAGCTGGGCATCCCATCCATGCACCACTGAAGAACGTGCATAAGGGATGAGTAATGTGTATATGCATTTTAAGCTGAAATATTTTTTAAAGACCAATAGATGGCATCCCGTGCCCATTACTTTTGGACTAAATAATAATTTTAGGATCCTGGCCTTCATTTTGATCATACTCTGCATAAATTTGGTGTCAGCTGTTGCAGGGGACGAGGAAGAGTGTAATATACACAAACAGAGTTCGACTCTTTAAACTCGCATGTGATATAAATATTCACATTTCTGATATCCCTTTGAAGTGGTTTTTTATTCTTCTTTTCCCTACTATGTAGGGTCTCTTAGAATTATTATGTAGGGTTCAGTTACGCTTTGCATTACTTTTATCTTATAATTTACATACTTCCCTTTTTATTTCGGAAAGTCTTGACCTAGTTTGCTATGGCGAGCAAGCATTATTTATCAGAAGACAAATACACTCATATAATATAAAATACTGAGCCAATTAGTGCCATGGATGAGAGTGATAATTCCTTTTCTAAAGAGTTAGAGAGCAATATTTCTAGTGAATCTGATACAAACATTTTATCACAGACTGAGCTCACTGAGCACTTTCCTTCCACTTGCCATGAAAAATTTTATTTCTTCTTGTAAATAGTCTTTCTTGTATTCTTTTATTCATTTTACAACTTATTATTGTATTTCCTCAATTAAAACTTTGGAATAATTTGAATAGCGCTTCCGAAAATTCTTTCTCAAGGTAAATAAATTTTTTTACGCATTTTCATGTAAAGTAAAGGAAATAGATTACTAAATGCTAATTTTAACAGATATGATAGCTTAAATAATGATCTAAAATAGTATACAAATTTATGATGTTAAGACCTCATCTTTCTCTCTCTCTCTTTTTTAAAATTATTTTCCTAAAGTTAGGCTTAGCTGTGCAAAACCGCATTCTGTGGGACGACTCCTTTCAACTACCATCCACCCGAAGAGGCATCTTAAATAAAGAAGTGTCAACTCAAAAGGGTTAATCAATGCATTAAGGTAAATTTTACTCTATGTGTATGTTAAACCAAAACAAACTGTCAGGGGAAAAATTTGTCATACAAGTAGTAACACCATAAAAATTTACAGTGTTTTCTCTTACAGGGTGCCCACCAGAGCTGGATTAACCAGTTCTGGATTTTAATATAAACATGTGCTTAGGGTATCAAGGGAAGGGAGCATCACAAAAAAATATTCAGGTATTACAGGAAAGGGGGCACCAATAATTTTCCTCTTGCTGCTTTTACTATGGAATGTATGGTGCAGCTAACGAATGGAAAAAAAATTGGCTTAAACAATATGTGGAAATATCAGAATTTTTTAAGTGCTTATGGCTTTTGAAAATCTTAATCCGGCTTTGGCACCCACAATTGGGTAAATTTGTCCTGGGAAATTGTGGAAACCCCGCATTATTTGAATAAAAACAGAAACTAATTCAGAATATTTTGCATAAATTCAAAAATAATTGTGGACTACAAATACATACAGAAAAAAAAAAATGCAACAGAGGTTTAGAAATAACTGCATACTAACATATACTTGCATAGACAAAAAAGTAAGTTTCAGAGATTGGTTTAATAAAAAAGTTGAAAAGCATGCACATTAATTCATATACGGCAAAAAATATCCAAATTTTCAGAATTTCAATCACTGCTAGAACTCGGCAGAACACGAATAATCTTTCTAATAAAATGGACTTAGAACATTAAAAAAAGGTGGAGCACTTATTTCTTGAATCACTTATAATGATTCGCATATATGGAAATATAAAAGTGAAAGAAAAGAGAAACAAACAGAGAAACAGTCATAAAAATTTAATACATAATTTTACCTAAAAAGTAAAAGGAAGAGTTGGTGAGTAACATGATCAATGTAAAAAAAAAAAAAAAAAAGAGCATAAGACAAATATTTCAGTCAGAACTACACATCTGAGATTCTGATTCAGCATCAATACACTAAGATGAAGATAACAAACTGCATTTTACACCCATATCATCCAAAATTTATAATTCTTCAAATTAGATATTTTCTTTCCCAAATTAACTTTACCTGTTCCCAACTAAATAATGCAATATATCGCCTTGTTCTTCTAGAGATTCTGTTTCCTTGAACATAGCCACCAGATCTTCGTCATTCACATTATCATACTGGCGATCCGAAACAGTACGAACACGAGCATTCGAACTCCAGCCTTCTTCTTCTTCAGGTTCTATGGTCGGAGATGGAGTTCTGCCTCCAGATTCAGTAGGAGATGAATATGGAGATTCTGAGTGTGCAGATAGGACCTCAAGACCAGGAGAAACTGGAGGTGGACTATGAATTTTCTCATAACGTTCTCGCAAGTTAACCAAATCTGGGAACATATTTCTCATTATTCATCCAAAAAAATATAATACAATAAAAAAAAGTATATGAACACCATAAAACAGAATTTCTCACACTTTTTTAGGTGGGGATCACTTTTATAAAAAAGAATTTTCTACAGACCACCTTATTCTTTTCCCTTTTGAATGCAACTTCTTTGAATAAGTTACTAACGACATGTTTATATTTTTAATACACAAGTAATTAAAACTCATATAATTTTATATTGGTTTTTAAATAATTTATATATTTGTTTTTAATAATTCAAGGCAGAGTTTGGGCAATCTTATTAATTAAAAATTAAATAAATATTGGTACTTGCATTTATGACATGCATGAGCTTTCCGATTCTTACTCAGCTGTTCTGTGTTTGAATGTATCCTGATAAAAAACACCAACAAAAGAAATACCTCGGTACTTTTCCGTTTTGCCGGCGCAAATCTCACCAAGCAGACTTTATTGGCGACAACATACAGTATACACATAAAAAATATTTAAAAAAAGTTAGTTCTAAGAATTCTTTTAAAAAAAGAAGGCATAAACATTTTAATATCGCTTAAAATTTTATAAAAAGCCAATAAATAAAGACAATAAATTTGTAAAAAGACATTAATTTAAGAATTTACTATGCTTTCATGATTCAACATCCTGATTCGCCGGTTCATATCATGTGACCGCAAGCGATCTCATCTCACGTAAACTACTCTACAAAAATCTAATGCTCTCAGTAATTATCTACATTAATTCCAAGTTAAATCTTAATTTGGAACACAAGTTTAAATGCAAGAAATATTTCAATTCGTACGAATAGCTTACTCAGAAATTATGTAAAACTGTAGTGCTTTACTTCGCTAATGCATTCTCATTAGAATGGATGAATTTCCCTTGACTTTACCTTTTCTAGTATATTTCCGGCTTCAGGTAAGCGCTGTGATTGCATCCTAATTGACTTAATTACCGAAAAATGGCCTTAGACATAAAACTGAACTATCTGATAAAAATTCTATGTAATTATATGCCAGTATTGAAAGAAACAATCAATATAATAAGAAAAAGCTACGACTTGTTTTGAAAATGAGGCATAAAAGGTTACCAGCGAGAATATTCCGTTTGGCATCGGTTGTACCATTATTGGCGACTTTATCGCTTGCGCCGGCAAAACGGAAAAGTACCAATACCTCTTTTGTTGGTAAAACTAGAACAAGAAGTCCATAGGCAAGTGTAACATAATAAATTTCACATAATGCCAGACTGGAAGAAAAAATGATAAACAATGCTCATTAATAAATTCCAAAATTTGAGATTTTCAGCTATAGCAGCTAAAAGTGTAATAGCTACTTTTTGTGTTGTGTGTGTGTGTGTTTGTTTCTTGAAAATCTAGATGGACGCAAGAGCAGGCTTCGAGGAACACAGATTGAAAAATGCTGTTATAAATGGATAAAATACATAGAATATTTCCAAAAACTAAAAATTTTACAAATAAAAAAATTGATTAATTTTTATCTCATAAAGCTTAACTATTCTTATTTTTTAAATACATAAAATGAATAGTTTTTATTTTATTTTTAAATCTCCTAGCAAAGATTTGTATTATTCATAATTTTAAAAGTAAGAAAACATCATAATAACTAATTACCAATAAATAATATTCCTTATCTTATTACACATATTGTGAATATTTTTACTTTTGTACAAAACTTACACTGCAGAATTTAATTTCTATGCATGCAAAAGTGTGTGCAAAATGCAAACTAACTAATATTATTCAGAAACAAGATAGTCATAAAAATAAAAATGTGAAAATAAAATAAAATATGAAAATAATTTTCACACTTAGGCCAATTTTCAAAAGACTTTTCTAATCTCACTTAATTTATCGATTAATTAGTCTTATTTTTCAAAAGATTCACTAAATAGATGTAAAAGAAAAGACAGGAAAATCTGAAAATTTTATTACAACTTAAAAAGAGTTTTTGTGATCTTCATTTTCCAAAGGAAAGTTTAACCTTGGAAAAATTACAAATTGTGAATTTACGACATTGGAATTCCTATAAATTTCTACTTAGTTTGGCTTAAGGTCTTTTATTTATCTTCAAATTACATGCATTTTCAACGAGTTCAGTAATGAGACCCATTTAAAGGCAATTTACACCTCTTAATATCTGACAATTTTCAATAACAAGACTGTCAATATGAATTTATTATGCCTGTGATATGACTTCAATATAGAGATTTAGATATTATCTGCAATCATAATATTGACTTTTTGTAAAAAGATTATTTTATTAATAATAAATAATACCATCAATTTAATTTATACAAATATTTCTAATAGTAAACATTTTACAGCTGAGTATACAGAATTTCTCACTTGTTCTAAATATATAAATTGCATAAATTAAAAACAAATGATGATGGTGATAATATTGATAAAATTCAATAAAAAGATAAATTCCAATTCTTCTACATATCCTTTTTTCATATTATTGATAAAATTCGATAAAAAGATAAATTCCAATTCTTCTACATAACCTTTTTCATTATTATTTTTTTATGTGAAAAATAAAAACTTGGTTTTACTTGCCAATAAGACAGCACACTATTTATTTATTTAAATGTTATTCCATGTGTTGTCAATCAGATATACATTCCTTTTATTTTGAGGTTAATACTTATATGTATCATCAAATTTTTAATTACTTACCTGGATCATATTTGTCAACTTGAATTGATCTCGTACGTTTGATTATCCCACTAACACCCGATCGCCGAGATCGCATAGAGCTCTTTTTTCGTTTCACTGATAATTGGCCGTATGGCAGCGTATGCCTCAGGAAGCATTTATTTAACTCTTTCTCCAAATAATCTCTCACACTTGTATTAAGACCTGAAATGAATAAGATGTCTTATAATACATGACCTGAAAAATTATACTTATTAATATACTTAAACATAAGCAATCTCCCATAAAAGTACGGACAAAAGTGACCAATTACATAAAATTTTTCTACTTCAAAATTCACGTCAAAATAGAAATTTCTCAAAAATAGAATAAAATAAATAGATAAATAACAAAAAGGCATTAGATATAAATGTTAGCAGTTTTAAAACAGTTATACTTGAAGATTCTAATGTACCTTTCAACAGATTAGAATTTAACACCTAATAGACCTTTTTTTAACCTGCAAGCATGTGCATGATGTTTTTCCTTATCTGTTCTTTTTTTCAAACCATGACTTACCATCTCATTTCTTCAGCAGCTGTCATCAAAGTCATGACCTTTAATTTAGATTAGGCTTTCAAATTTCTAGTTTCTTTATTTGCTAATTGATTACTCTAAATATTATTCTGAGGTCACATTTGCCCCATGAGTATCCTCCAGTAAGTTCAAATTTCTTAAATTCACATGCAGAATTTTTTTTGGAATTTCCTTATCTTCCAAATTTTGCTTTCTAAAAATGAAACATGGTCATTTTTGAATCCAAAATGAAATTTATGAGCAAAATCACACCTTTTTCAACATGTCAAAAATGTTATGATTTATAAGAAAATGGTAATATTTGATAACATTTTATGTTATATGAATGAATTTTTATAATACATTGATTAAATTTATTTTTTCTAATTAATCTCAATATTTATTTTGTATTATTAAATTTTACAGAATCTTGTATTAATTTTAATAAAAATATTAAGATCACGATTACTTTGGAAGTACTTTACAAGTAATAAATCATTAGTGCAAGTAAATCATACTTTAGAAGATATACAAATAATAAATAATTAAAATTTTTACTTTAAAAAAAATTGGGAAACTGTCTGATTTCCTTGAATGTGCAACAGACAATGCAGCCATTGCGTTTTTCTCTTTTTCAATATAAAAAAAACTTTCCTCTCAGCTTTCTCATGTTCAGGGTCAAGAAGGACCTTTCCTTTTTACCTCTTCTGAACTCACACACGTAGGTAAGATAGGTAAGTTTTCAGTCCAAAAATTTGATGGCCAGTATCCCACAAAAAAGCACCAAATAGAGTCTTCACAACGTGTTTTTACTGTTTTCACAATATTCATATATATATAAAAAGTCGAGACAGGATTAACCGTTTGAGTCCGGCACGCACTTCACTTGTTGTATGCCAAAAATACGGCGCAGCGGGATAGCGCTTCTCTTGTTTTGTATCGAGAATGCGAAGACGCTGCTGTTGGTTAGTATACTTGAAAAAAAAAAAATTATTGAAATATTCAATTGGTTTCGCATCAGGAGGAGGGGCATGCTTTGGTCCAGGTACAATCAAAAGTCGTTAATTTGGACACCCATAATCCGGAATGATCTATAATCCGGACCTCAAAGCTACAAACTTTCTGCGCATGCGTCGCCATTTACGCGTGCGCATAAGAGCTTTATGGCTGCAAATATGCGTGTGCGCGTGCGCATAATACATTTACACACACGCGTTTAATGCATAATGGATGGTATAAGCTAAGCTAAAATTATCTAATTCAGTTAATGTTGCAGATTGCGTCGTTCCTTAATCTTCGAATTGGATCGGGCTTATTACATTTTGCAGACTGCTAGAGCAATTTTATAAAAGTAAGCTTGAACTTTCAATTATGTCAAATAGAATTTCCGATATATATTTACTAATATGTAAAGGATCTACAAAGCAAAAGTATGTTTCGAAATCCATTAAACAGAGGGTGGAATTGCTGCAAAAAATGGATAAAGGCATATCCTTTGATTATCTAATCATTCTGAAATCTGTTTATCAATTTCACGTTGCTCTGCGGGGGGGGGGGGGGACACCGCGGCACGCAATTAATTGGAAGTTGATCTGTCAGCACTATCCTTATCTTCAGAGCAGATGTTTTTTATTTAAGTTGGCTTACAATTCCTTACTAAATGTAGTATTTCATCTTGATGTACTCCGTCTTTGATATGATTTAAATCAAATTCCTTGTCATTATGATTCGCTTCCGATAGTGAAGAAAGTGACACAGAGGTTATTGAAAACGAAAAAATTTTGATTGACAAATTAGTCGGTATTCTCGACATGGCAATTACAGGACTTGAACAGCGGAACTTTGTAACTAAACAAGAAATGATGTCTGTTTAATAGAATTAAAGAGAAAGTATTATCACATGAAATGAAGCAACTTGAACAACTCACATTGAGAGAAATGTTTAATAAAGTAAACAAAATAAATATTAAGCTTTTTTTTGTAAATTTTGATACCCTTTAGATCATAATTGTTCTTTATTTCATAAATTATGGTTTCATATTTTTAATTTTATAATTTCTGCATGCCATCTTACCAGATTTAAACTGATGATCTATAATCCGGAATCGTCGAAGTCCCGACGAGTCTGGATTAACGACTTTTGACTGTACTTCAGAAAAAGTATTTGATTCGTTCAAAAAAATTGTATCCACGAGTAAAAACTCATCAATCATATCGTCATCGGAGCTACTTGCAGTTACTTCATCATTATCACTGCTATCACTAATAACTCATAATCTCTTAGAACGAATGATGATGTCACTTTCCACTATCACTTTCAAGGTCATTACTATACTCTTCATTATCACTTCTCATAACATAGTAACTTTCAAATGAATCAGAACTTGACATGGGTTATTTCGTAATTATCAGTATAATACTTGGTAAAAAAATGAAAACAATTTCCAATTCCTATAAAACAACTGCTACTGATATCACTACAACTGACTAACCAATAGCAGAGTCTTCACATTCTCGATACAAAACAAGAGAAGCGCTATCACGTTGCGGCGTATTTGGCATACGACAAGTGAAGCGCGAAAACACTTTGCCGGACTCAAACAGTTAACCTGGTGCAAGTTTCCCCACTCGAACTCTGCTGCCTCAAATTTCCAGTGAATCATCAAATTCGTTTACGGTGTGTGATTTAACGGCATATTCAAATGTGCTTTGAAAATCATCGAGTACCTGTAAGTTCAAAATCGAAAAGTATTTTGTATCACAATCAGTGCCGCCAATGTAGCGAAATATGGTTACTGGTTCTCGCTCGCTTTGAATATTCCTAATGCATTTCCGATCATTACGCGAAAAGAAAAACATCCAAAGTGCTTTGAAAGTCAGCAAACTCATGAGTGAAATAGTGTTTTGTGCACATTTTGCGTTTTTCAGTGTTCTTATTCAAAGAATGGAATATTTTCAAAAGTTATTAATGTGATATTGAAGTGGTATGAAGTTCCAAATGGAGAAAATTGTGTTTTTAAAATGACTTTGCATTATAAGTAATTTTGCATTTATAAGTAATTGCATTGTGTTATGATTTTAATATTTTGCTTAAATCATTCTTAAAATCAAAGTTAATAATTCAAAAATATTATGATTTATTTAAAATGTAGTTTTATATTTATGAATTGGGAAAAAGACTTTTCCGTTTTAGCGGCGCAAATCTCGCCATTTTGCAGACTTTATTGGCGACAATATACAATATACACATAAAAAATGTTAACCAATGTTAGTTCTAAGAATTTTTTATTTTAAAGGCATAAACATTTTAATATCATTTAAAATTTTGTAAAAAATAATTAAATAAAGACAATAAATTTGTAAAAAGACATTAATTTAAGAATTTACTATGCTTTCATGGTTCAACAAGCTGATTCGCCGATTCATATCGTGACCCCAAGTTATCTCATCGCACGTAAACTATGCTAAAAAAATACAATTCTCTCAGTTCAAGTTAAATCTTAATTTGGAATGCAAGTTTAAATGCAAGAATTATTTCAATTCATATGAATAGCTTACTCAGAAATTATGTAAAACTGTTGTGCTTTATTATGATAGTGTATTCTCATTAGAATTGATGAATTTAACCCTTTGCCTTTTCTGTATTTTCACCTTCGGGTGAGCAGTGTGACTGCATTCTAATTGAATTAATTACTGCGAATGGACTTAAAACTGCAAAAGGACATAAAATTGTACTATCTGGTAAAAATTGTTTGTAATTTTATGATAGTATTGAAAGAACCAATCAATCTGATAAGCAATGGCTGCAACTTGTTTTGAAAATGAGGTGTAAAAGGTTACCAGCAAGGATATTCCATTTGGCAACAGTTGTACCATTATTGATGACTTCATCGCCTGCACCGGCATAATGGAAAAGTACCGGATTTGAAGATTTTACTTAGAAAAGGTTCCTAATACGAATACTATTCTTGTATTACTATTTAAATTTCTTTGAATTTGTATTTTAAAATTTTTACTGTCTGTTAAGAATGAAATTATTCTTTGAAAATTTTAAATTCTAGGAATTTCTTTAATGTTTTCAAGATAAACGTTGAAAGCTCTCACCTTTATGAAAAATACATTTTTTTAATCTAACATTTTTTATTTTTTCATAAGATAGAGTGTGTTTTTAATTTTTATAATGGAATGACAGCAGTTCAAAAAAGGCCAATTGCCTCTATCGAAGGAACGGAGGACTTTTCTACAGTAATTGCTAATTGGCAAATCTTTTGAACACTAGTGAAGAATAACACCAGTTTGCTCAACTGATAAATCAATGTGATGGATATGCTGGTATTTAGAAAAAGTTCTGCAGTCTTCAAGTTTTGTAAAGAATAAGTAAATTTTAAATATCTTAATAGTGAAAAGTTTGAAATTTGTTGTGTTTACAAATGATGTGTTACAAAAATTTTTTATTTTAAAATGCCTTCCTTAAAAAACATAATTATGGAAATTCTAACAAATAACATGAAAGTTGGCATCTCAATCTGTAATATAATAGAAATATTTTCATCAACAAAAATTTGAAAGACTTTTATTTGAACATTTACTTTGTGAAAAAATTTGAACTTTTACCATGTGGAACTATCAAGAACTTTACAACATTTTATTGAACATTCTCATTTCAGGACTCTAAAATATGCAATTGTTTTAAAAGAATACAAGGCTAAAATTAATTATTGAATTCAAAATTTTATGACTTCCAGTAAAATTGATTCAAAATATCGGTCAAAATTTTATGACAATGATTTTTTTGTTTTGTTTTGTTTTGTTTAAAAGTTAAATACGCTTGTTAATATGTTTTGTATTTTTCACATTTTGCTGCTCTAATGCTTTTTCTTCTACCTTGCTCACCCAGCCTTCTTTTGAAGGGGGGGATATGTAAGATATAACAAAATATGATAGCTGTTTCAAAAAAATAAATGGCGACCTCAAAATTAACATTCTAAATTTGGTGATCCCTAAATTTATCTCTTCTCACAGGTTTCAGATTTTTCTACCTTACATAACGTTTTAATGCAGATGCCTCTTGTCCAATCAAATTAATTTTAATCCAAAACTCTGAACTGAAAATTTCCTAATCGCAATCTTCTTCCTGTGAAAGTACTATAACTCTTTCCCTTTTTTGCATAAGCTCTGCTGCTGGCAAGCTTTTCATCCATGCTGCTGCTGCTTACTTGCTGAAGATAACTTCCTACTTTAAAATGAAAATTACAGTGTTCAAATATAATTAGGAAACATCTTGTCTGAAAAAGGATGATTTGGTATGTGTAAAAAAATAAAGATTGTGCTTTTTCAAAATACGTTGTGCTAAAGTGCGTCATTATGTTTTCAACTCTGTCACCTTCAACCCACTATGATGTTCTCAGTCATCTACGCAGTATCGTAAGCTGTTAAAGTTCTAGTGCCTTCATCTATGCATTTATAAAATCATTACATGTATATGTGTGATGATTTTTTTCCTTACACAACAACTCTTGAATCAAACTTTCAAAAAATTTCCATTTTCCATATTTAAACTTTCTGCATTCATGTAAAGAGTTGGTAAGATTTGGGGTAAAACTGGACAACTAGAAGTGGTACTTTACTTGAAGCCCATAACAGCTTTTAATTGAAAACTGGAAGTTGTACCTTACCACACATTTTTTTATGAAAATCTGTGTTTCGTAACCTGTGTTTTCATCATAGCACAAAGTAAATTTGGGAATTTCAATAAATTAGATGATTCAATTATTTTTCCACAGCTGTCACGGCGTGGTTATGACGCAAGCTTTACGGGACAAAATAAACTTGAAGTGCCTATCTGAAAGAAACAGAGGTTTGTGACATGGTCTTGTCTCTTTGCCTTTCATTATTTATCTTCCACCAGCCTGTATACTTTTGGTCCAAAAATTTGAGAGTGAGTTCTCAGTGAATAAACATGAATAATAGTCTCCAGAACACATTTTCTTTGTTTTACAATGACGTCTGTTTGTCCATGTGTATATGTATAACAAATTTTCATACACAATTACTCTTATATCAAACTTTCAAAATTTCTATTTTCTGTATACAAGCTTTGTATGTTCATATAAACAGCTGATCATATTTCAGTAAAATTAGACGACTAGAACAGGCATTTTACTTGAAGCCCACAAGAGTTTTTAATTGAAGACTATTAAAACAAAATCCAAAACTTTTAAATTTTAGTATTTAAGACTTTTATATTAATGGGAACAACATATTAAAATTTGACTAAAATGAATTAACCAGAATTTACCTGAAGGTCAGAACATAAAAAGATGTATTATGATACAATTATTTCTCAAAAAAAGTATTTAAAATAGGTATGTATTTAAGAACAACGTACTACATAAGCATTAAATATGCTTTTGGAATTCTGCTATAAGCAAAAAGAATAATCTCATTATGGAGCAATTAAATGTATTAGCCTCAATTCTGAGTTCGTTTCACTTTTGTGTCGTATTGCTTTTCAAATAAAAGGGTGCTGCCATCAAATGTTATTATTATGTGTTATGTTTAAAGAAATAGAAAAGAAATTAAATAAGTGTAAAAAGTGTATGTCAACTATTAATACTCTATTGGAAGATAAACTGGTTTTAAGGATTTTGTTGGTGAATTTTATGCGGGCAAGTGCAAAGAAAGTGGTGTTTAATAAAGATAAAATGACATAAAAGAGTTGATCATTTTATTACAAAAAGTGAACTGAGAAAAGACTGAAAAGGAAATGCATGGCAACATTTAACACTCTATTATGAATTCTAAACATATGCTGCTTTAAGAAATGTTGTGATAATAAGTCATCGATCTGTGTATCTGGAACACTTTACAATCAGAGGATATACTATAATCGATGCGATATTTTCAAATTAAAGCATGCAATTGTGTATACTTATTGCTGTTCATTATATGGGAGGAGAGAATCATAAAAATTAAGTATTGTTTAAAATTAACAATGAATCATAAAGTCCATAACTCCATGTCTCAACATGGAATTATGGAATTGGTCGGAGGTACTAGCCATATTAGATTTTTTCAAATATATCTTAATTAGTCCTTTATTATTAATATAATATTAAGAAATATATTTACCAGTCCATTCCTTTGCATGCTATCTTAGTTTAGGCACAGACTATTTTAAAGAGACAGAAAGCAAAACATATTTAGCTCAATTCAATGTATGTTAATTACACTTTTTGGTGTGTCTATATGCTCATTATGCAGGGTATTCATTACATGAGGCACTGCAGCACATTCTGTTTTTCAAACCAAGTCTATTAAAAGTAATTTCATGTGTATTTAATTTTAATGGTGAAACAATTCCCAGTTGACTGCTCACAACTAGATGAGTGCTCTGACAAGAATATACAGGTTAGCAATTCTATGCCAAAATTTATTACTTTAACGTATCATTATTTTTTGAAGAAAGAATAAATAATGTGAACTTTGATTACAGAAAAAAAAAGTCTAAAGTCTGTCATTTAATTATGAAAATCATTTTAAATATATACTAATTTCTTTTTTAAAAAATTCAAATTAAATTAAACAGCTAAAGTCTAATTATATAAATTCCACTGGACTCCTAGGAAAAAATTCACACAGCTGAGAATAAAATAGAGAAATGCTGTTAATTAACATAACATGATAATGATACAAGGCAACTTACTGTCTGGATCTCCCTCCTCTTGATTATGTAAAAAACTGAGGCTTGTAATACAAGAAGTGCTCTGAAAATCTTCTAATGTTCCAAGAGCAACCCTAATAAAATAAAATAATATACTATTATAAAAATCTTATTCAGGGGGGAAAAGATGTTACATTATGTTAATTAAGAATTTAATTTGAACCAATAAAATTATAATTTTATTTTTAAAAAATTAAGTTATTCAATTAATTAATTTATTTAAAAAAATTAACTTAGTATTATTTGGTCATACTCTCTGAGATAATTTTTAAATCATCTTTTGGTATAGGCAGAATACTTTCTCTTTTTACAATTTTTAAGAAAAATCATACATTCTACAAATTTCTTTATTAACATAATCTTGATTTGTTCATCTGGCTGAAGTTCATCTGGCACTGAAAATAAATGTAGAAGGAAGAAATAAGGGAGAAAAGGAAGCAAAAATTTGAAGGGGAATTTTGCTGTCAGAAATACCAAGGTGTTTTGAAAAGTTGGATGCTTTTGAATATACTTTCAGAATACTTCAAGGAATTTGGGTTTTCAAAGAGAAAACACTTGGACGTGTACACTAGCAAATATCATTAATTGAGCTTGTGCTAACAGAAAAGATAAAAACGATACCATTGCAGATTAAAGTGAAGAGCGACCAGTTTTCGACTATATGTTTGTATAAATTTAAATTACGTTATAGAACATCATATAATCATAAACAGAGAATCCCATGATTTCTTATTCGAATTATTTGAATATTCATGAATTTATCCAGTGATGTATGTGGATGTTACCTAAAGACGTTTCCCTCTTGATGAAACCAGGCTTTCCTTTCATCTCATGCCTTAAAATGCTTAGCCTCTAAAGACTGATAAAGACTCAGACCAAGTACTGATGAAATGGATTGAATTGGATTATTAAGTTATGGCAAAGCATGGCTATCTGCCCTAAAAGATCTTCGTGAAGAACTTTCTAAGGGAAACCTGCTGGCATACATGTTACGGTGAGAAAAACCATGAAAATGCCCATGCAACCAGCCCGTTTTCGAACCCGGAGCGAACTACCAGTGTTCAGCGACTTTATCGCTCGACCGTTTCTGGGCCTTTATGAAATGGACGGTGATAACTTTATTTAAATTTAATGTCAGAAATTCTAGGATGTTTTAAAAAGTTGGATGCTTTTTAATATACTTGCTGAACGCCTGAAGAAAAAGAGCAAGCCATTATGAAGAAAAAAATAAATTTTTGCACAAAATTTAGTATTTTTTTTTAAATTTAAATCTTTTTAATCTTATATTTGATTCTTGAGATTTCAAAAATAAAATATTTGACTAAAATATGAGTAACATTTTAAGAAACTAAATGTAGGATGATAAAATTGTGTAAAGCAATGAGCATAATGCTAAAGCTATTTAAAGCAATATATGTAAGTCATCCTAAGTTAAAATGTCTGTTATACATCTTTCTCATTTACATATCTTTTCTGAAAGGAACATTGAAAGGCATGTTAACTGTGCTTTACTGTATTTTCTCTTTTAATATAATCAGTTTTCAGATGCATCGTAGTCTGGGACACAAAGTATTCTTCCGAAAGAAACACAATTCAAATAAATAAAATAAAACCCTGGAAAATTTTTATTAATAAATATATTTAAAATGCTCAGTTCGAATGCAAAAAATACTAAATTTGAAGAGACAATGCAACATAAAACAATTAAAATAAAATTCTAAAAATTTAAAAATTACCTAAAATAATAACTGTGACAAAAAAAATTATAAAGAAAACTATTTGAAAAAAAATAAACGATGCACCTTACATTTAAACTACACGGTTTCAAATGGGTAAATAGAAATTTTTAAAACAGTTATTCGAAAGAAACCATGCAACTTAAAGAATTAAAATAAAATTCGAAAAAGAAAAAAAAAATATTTAAAATAATAACATAAAAATATAATATAAAGAACATCATTTGAAAGAAAGAACATTGTGATTTTTTCCCCTTTCATGGAAAAGGAAAATAAGTTGTCATATATTAAGAAGTTTGCTAAGTGAACTTTTCTTGGCACAAGCTGAAAACAAAGCGCCAACATAAATTTGTGAATTTCTTTGTAAATTTCGCACCAAATTTTACAAAATTTAATATTTGGGCATAATTTGAATTGTAGAATCAAAATATGTAAAAATTTGGCATGTTATTTCAGAAAAAGTCCAATTTTGTGTCAAAATACCTATATTAGAATAGTGTTATATATAAGTCTAATATATATCCTAAGTCACACTTTCGAGACATGAAGAACACAATTTGAATTTTGTCAATTGGCCCGGTAGAACATGAGATATAGAACTGTCCCCCCTTTTTTTTGCACACTGTACATTACATAGCTAGGCTTAGTGTCAGTGTTTATTAGATTGTCTTTATATCTTAATATTATTTTATAAAATAATACATGTTTTTTGTGTAATAATTACAGAAAAGAAAGGTAAAAAAAACTGGTTTAACTATTTTAAAATAATTTTAAACATGTTATAAATCTCTATATATGCTATAAAAATTATAAATTTACTTACCTTGTACCATTAATATAGCCACTTTTTAACTTCTTTATTGTTGAAATCATAGCAAGAGGAACTTTTTCATGCTCTAAAATATAAAAACAAATACATGAAAATATATTGTAGACATTGCATACCAAAATGCCTCTTCTCTTCATAATCATATGGATTACACATCATTAAAACATTTGATAGATATTTATATAATAGATAACTATCATAACAATTTATCGCTATTACAGACATTATAACTAAAAACTAATACATAAGAAAAATTTTTGGTACAAGCAAATTTGCCTACAAAATTAATTATATAATAATAATAATTTGTTGCTTACTGATAAATATTTTAAATTTGCTTGCTAATTCTTTAGCCAAATAAATTGTTTGGCAGGAATACAACAATGTTTCATTCAAGTCTAAAATATCGTTTTCTATTTGTATTAATAAAAAAGAAAAATTCCATACACATGGCATATGCCATAGTTCTAGCTCAAATTCATTAATGAGTGAGTGACTTATGAAATTTCAGAAAATGTCAGCAGTATACCCTATCATCTCCTCAGGGAAGTAGAAATGCAGAGGAAGTATTATTATATTATGTACACAAAACACATACATTATTATATCATACATGCATAATAAAATGGCACATTATTTGTATGACAGTGTAAAATGCAACATACAAACACAGATTAGCAAATTCATTTTGAACTACTTACCTGCCGAGTATCTTTTTATCAGAACTACTAGAGCTGTAAACTGAACTACTAGAGCTGTAAACTTCATTAATGAAGTACAACTATTTTAACAAAATTATTCTATTCATTTTAAACAATTTCAGAGAGTTTCTTTCCTTTAACGATATAACATTTTGAACTTCCTTTTATAAAAACAGTTTTCATGGGCACATTTACATAATTACCGATATATAAACATAATTTTAAGTATTTAAAATAATTTTAAGTAATAAACATAATTTTAAGTATTTTAAGTATTAAGTGTTTGATTTCACTACTTATAAGAGGATTAGGCATATTATAATTGATTTTGAAGCCATATCTCCCAGGTTATGCAGAATTAGATTGAGAGGTAGATTCTTCAAGTACAGTTTAATTAATATACATACACCAACTGAAGATAAGGATGAGAAGGATACCTTTTATGAAAAAGTCCACGCACTGTATTCTGCCAGCCCAAAACATGATATCAAGATTGTGCTGTGAGATGAAAATGCCAAAATAAGGAGAGAAAATAGGTTTAGCCTACCACTCATGGGCATAGGCTACATCTTGACTCAAACAATAATGGCCAGAGACTGATACCTTTTGCTTTGGAACATGATATGGTTGTGGCCAGTACTTGCTTTCCACACAACAGAATTAACAAAATGACTAGGAAATCTCCAGATTGTGACACTTTCAATCAGCTTAACCCATTAGCCACTGGTGTTGCGTTGACGCAACGGTCAAAATAAATGCGTATATAAATATAACTACCTAAGATATTTTATACCAGCAGATGATTTTGTGCAGGGAATATTATGAAGATTATTTCTGTAAAAAAAAATATTTGCCTTCAATAATCATTTTGTTTATAATAATTAATCTCATACTTTAAGCAAAATTTTTGAACGGGTATTTCTGCTGAAAATATTTAACGAAAGAATCGCCGTCCGTATGAGTGATCTATTTTTAGTCAAGGTCACTGTTTATCAGAACATTAAATCAGTATATTTGTGTTGCGAAGAAAGGGAAAACAGGTGTCGCGTTGACGCAACGTCAGCAGGAAACGGTTAATCAATCTCCTTTTTCACTCATTCCTTTCGATGTTCTGGTTCATGTTCTGGTTGTTTAAAAATGCCTAGAACTAGGTATCTTACATTAGAAGAAGTCCTTCAAAGATTTTCTGATGAAGAAACAGATGATGATAATGTTAATAATGACCAGAATGAAACTGATATTGTTGTTGTTCCCCCACAAATTGCAGAGGTTACTGACAAAGAAGAAAGGAATGGCAATGTTTTAAATAATGATAATGATATTTTACCAAATGATACTGCTGGGGAAGTTGAAATTCACATAAAAAGTAAGTTTCAGCCTTCTAAAAGCAGTTATAGTCATACTAAAAAGTTTAAAAAGCAGAAGACTGAAACCTTGAAGAGGATAAAAAAGGAACTGTTAGTTATGTCTCAGGAAGAACATGAAGAAAGAGATAGAAGAGAAATTATAAAAGTAAAACTAGTGCACATAATTTCGATTTTCTTTTTGGTTTAGACATTTACTCTCTTCTCGTTGAACAGACAAATACATACGCTCAGTGAAAAAATACCCAGAATTTATTGCATCTGAAGCCTATATGAGAAAATGTTTGGAATATTATTGCTTACAGGATATCATTCTTTACCTCAAGAAAAATGTATTGGTCTTTTGATAAGGACATTTCTGTTCCTGTTGTATGAGAATTGATATCACGTTTGCAGTACATGAATATTAAGCAGAACTTGCATTTGACAATAGTCAAATTGACAATACTGGTAAATTATATGAGGTGAGACCATATCTAAACTTACTAAATATCACCACTTTTTACTACTGGAAATATAAAGTCTGTTTTAGATTTCAGACGCGAGAATGCATTATTTCTTTTGTAAACTCTTATTGAGAGTGTAGAATTAGCTAGAAATATATCAGCAACAGGAAGACCTAGTAAATTCAGCATTCAAAAACCATTGCATGGAGATGGTAGACATTTTATCGTAAAGTCCGTTGATAACAAAAGACTTTGTTGTAAAGAGTACCATAGCCAGACTGTTTATAGATGGAAAGTATGTAATGTAGCTTTACATCATGATTGTAATCAAGTTTTTCATGCTTGAATCTTTCAAATGAAATAATCTGCATTTGTAAAAGAAATACAATGTATATTGTAATATTAAATTAATTACAAGTAAAGTGATTTGTAGATTTATAAACCGTTATACAGCGAAAAAGTAACCTGCGCTCCACTCAAAAGAAACGTCACACGAGTACAATCCTACTCATTAAACATCCGTAGTCTTATTCCGCTGACATTGCGCGAATGCAACACTCGCTTTTTCCACAGGTAAGAGCATTTTTTTTATTTTCAATGTAAATTTATGTTATAAATGCTTAATTTAACATTTGTTATTATTTTCATGAGAAAAGAAACATTCCTTGTAGTTTTGGCGGTTAATGGGTTAACCACGTATCAATTGACACCACACATGCCTCAGACATACAGGACATCAGGTCATACCCTTACTTGGTTATGATGAAAATCAGAGCAAGAATCTCTTATGCCTGTAAAGATCAGGGGGTGAAATTAAATGAATGCAAAAAACATCAAACTGGAGTGCATAGATAAGAAATGGAATCTGTTAAAAATGATTATTATTGAAACTGGCACAGAGTCTTAAGCAGAGCAAAAAAAGGAATGAGTGATGACTGGTTTGATCAAGAATGTAGCGCTGCCAATGACCTTAAAAACAAAGCATGCACGAATATGCTTAAAAGAAAGCATACTAGATTAGTTGTTGATGAATACAATTATGATAGGAAAAAATGAAAATATGAATTTTAACAGCCGCATTTTCCCAAACAAATATTACACACAAACTGAGGGATTAGCCATGAGAAGCCCTCTCAGTCCCATCCTGGCTGATATCTACTGCATTATTATGAATCAAAATTATTTGAAACTTAAAATTTCCCAGTATGTTTCTGTTATGTAGACGATACTTTTACCCTGTTTGATCGTAATAAAGATGATTTAAAAAAAGTTCTTTCAACAATCAATTCCATTGATCCTGCTATTCAGTTCACTTCTGAACTTGAGACTTGCAAATCTCTTCCATTCCTCAACATTCTGGTCACATGTAACACATCCAACTTCAGTACTACAGTTTACCGTAAAACCTTCATCGGTCTGCCTTTCACCACACTTCAAATCATGTCATCCAACTAAATAAAAGTTAGCTTCATTTTATTACTATGCTTTCCATGCACTTCAAGTTTGCTCATCGAAATTGGTTCTTGATCAAGAACTGAATTATTTAAAAGCAGTAGCTACTAACAGGGGCTTTTCACCCAACATTATTAATCAAGCAGTTACAAAATTCTCATCTCAACACACCAAAACGCACATTCTTGTTTTAGGAGATTATCAGAATTCTGTTGTCATTCCTTTCTTTCCATCAATTAGCTATAAAATTGCACGTATTTTACAGAAATTTAACTTTTAAGTTGTTTATTCTCTTATCAATAAAATTCTGAGTTCCATACTCAAGGACCACATTCCACAGTTGAAATCCTGGAGTATTTATAGGATTCCTTGCAAGTGTAGTTTAATTTACATTGGTCAAACTAAGAGAACCTTAAAATTTCACGTTAAGGAACATGAGGCATATGTTAGAAAAAAGAAAACACAGAAGTCCTCTGTTGCCCAGCATTATTGGTCCAAAAATCACACTTTCAATTTTTCGGCAGTCAAAATTATTAAAAAAATATCTTCCAATGGTGAATTAAGTTTCTAGAGGTGTTTCACATTCAAGAAAATTTTTCTGAATGAAGATCTAGTTAACTGATCTGTTCTAGTTAACGACCCTAATTCCAATACATTTTTGCCTTCAGCTTTTAAGGAAATTATGTTTTAGTTCTTGTTTCATCAACAGATGGTGCCAATAACTTAACTCCGACCTTCCCATTCTTATCTAATCATTATATCTTAACTCATTCGTTTGCACTTTAGCAGGTGAGGATGATGGTTCAGTAAAACCATCGAAATTAGTCCTGTGAAAATTTACAAATATATTGCTGATTTTTGTTGTTTGACTTCTAAATTAATGGTGAATGTATATTTGGACTTCCAAGAGCAGAAACAGGTTATCAAATGGTACTGGAAGTTTGAGAACGTTGCTAGGGTTCAGATACAATGGAAATGTGAGTTGAAAATGTTGCTGGGGATTCAGATACAGTAGAAATGTGAAAATGGGACTGATTCCCTTTCAGTGTTAAAAATTACGTGTATAAGAAAAAAAATCAAGATTCATGGAAATCAGTGTGTGAT